ACGGAATAATGTGTTGCCATTCTGCAACGGATTGGCTTTCGATTCTTACTAAATGGGTGACTTGGTAAAAAGATACATTTTCGGTTTCTTACTAAATGGGACACTTGGCAAGCGATAATTGGAGAAGCCCGAAACATGAACATGCATGTCTTATCGTATGTTCTTTTGAATCTACAAGTTGTAAAACAATTTACAGTCACTACTGCATATCTGACTCCTCCTTTACCCATTTGGAGTGAACCGTTCATATCTATTCTCCATTTTGAAGATTAAACTTTAGAGGTTAAGGAGGTTGTTTTTGGTTTGGGGCAAAAATTTAGCACCTCTCGCATTTTCTTGCTAAATCTAAGGCATTCTTTTTTTATTGTGGGTCAATAGTACGCTTGCCTCCAAATCTTATGCGCCAAAATAAGAGTTCGTGCACTTTTTGGGAAAGAACTTAAATATTTCCACTTCTTTCCCATTAATCACTAAACACAATTCCACTTTACATTGTTTAATTTCGACTCTAGAAAGGCACTGAAACCACACAATTTAGTCGCATAACACCCTTTTATAATGCCGTGCCCTTTCGCTGATAAAGATAAGAAGCTCGTGGATAACTACCTTTTCTACCAGTTCTTTCGTTTTCTGCATTTGGATGGTGAGGCAATGGAATGGAGCAGATAGCGGGTTTGGACGGGCTGCCGTGGGCCCACAGGCACATCCTTGGCAGTGTGGGCAGCTCTGCTAGGCCTGTTATTGTCACCGGTAATTTTTTCTTGTGCAGACAGTGGGTCCCACAACAAGGCTGCAGCAGATTCCAATGCCGAAACAAATGGCAGCAGTGCCACCTGTGGCTTGGCCTGCGTGGACTGAGCAACACCCTCCTACTATACGCCCGGTAATGAAGTGCAGCAAGTATAACAAATTCATATTGTACAAAAAATGTTGTTCTTAAATTGTAGGAACATATATACTTAGTTATTGAAAAAAAAAAAAATATCATTCTTTTTATCTTTAGCTGTCCTTAGTCAGTTTTCAACTTGATCAAAAGCCTTCTTGTTTTTCAGCAACAATTCAGGTTTCAATAGTAACTGTCCAGATCAATTTTGTCCGTAATTTGTACGATAGGAGTGTTTAAACATCAAAGTCATGAGGAAAATATTAAATATATTAAAGCAGTCCTCGACTATTTCTGATTTCAGTTGATGAAATGTCCATGCGGAATTTCTCTGGCGGTATTGAGACAAACATATCTCGTATCGCCTCAGGAATACATAAATCATCAAGAACCTACAAAAAAAGATTGTTCACCAATAAACCTTTTCACTATGCACAGTACAGCAATTATTAACACACGGGTTTTGATATGCAGATTTGAGGAACAAACCTGAAAATTACCATCTACATTTCGACCACCGACGAGGAACACACAACCGGTGCTTTTGCATCCGGACAGAATTTCCAACATTTTTCCGTAGTCGTTACCATAATACTTTGGCTGTCAAAAAAGGGAGCATAACTCAACGTAGGCAATCAAAATGTGCTTACTATCTTTAGTTATTGCTAATCACAGGAGTCAACAGGGACGAAAGTAGGAATTTTAATAGAACCAAATAATTGATCTGCTGGAGACTTTTTTCTGAATTGCAAGTTTGTCTTACATAATTTTGACTTTTGTTTGCAACAGTCATGCAATAAGAACGAGTTTTGCATTCCATCCTCGAATGCAGTATCTTATAGGCAAATTTTACTATCAAGAATCTTTACTATACTCTTCCATCATGTTAGCTCCATGATTAATCGGTAATAGCCTCTTGCCATAATAAAGGGAAAGGGGATGAGGGAGGGAGGGAGGGAGAGTTTTACCAATATGGTGTGCATTATCGCTAAAAATATTTAGAGGGTGATTGTTTATGGATTCAACTAGTTTTTATTTGATTTGTTTTTTAACTATAGTTAATTTTGTAAAAAAATGGTATGGTTAGTTGTTAGTGGATATATTAAAATAATATTTAAATAAAACAATTAAAGTTGATTTGATATAAAGTAGGAGAAAAATGATTGGGTGATGGTTAGTTAAAATTATGTGAGTGGATGAATAGTGAATTAAAGTTGATGTGATGTGTAAGAATGAATGGTTGATATTATTTAATTATATTGATAATATTGGAGATAGTGAGATTGAATTAAAGTTGAGTTAAATTTGAGTTTTGATTGATTTTTGTACTATAGAAACTATATCCAATTGCCCCCAGTGACTAATAAAGGTGAATAAGAAGAAACAAAAGGGTAGTAACACCATAAATGTTTAGAACATCTTTTTGGAGCACGCAGTCTCGGGATCAAATCCTTTGTGTCCCCATGTGGGTGGATTTTCATTTATTTAGGTATTTCCTTCTTTCTTCTAGATAAATTGTTCAAATAAACATATGTATACACACATACATATGTTCACCTCAGCTCAAGTTCATAAATGAAAAAAGGTGCCAACTACAAGTTCATTGGAATAATATAATTTTATTTGATTCCCTTACATTGATAAGCCTAGCTGCAGTGTCTGCACCAATTACGAAAGCACTACCAGGGAAAAGTTCAGCTTTCTTGTAGAAATATGGCTGGTTGGATATTATGACTGTCTTCCCTGCACGTGAAGGACTCGAACTATTATAAGGGATGTGTGGGAACATTTATTTTACCTAATATTAAAGAGAATACATGTGGGTAATGATTAATGGGACATAAAGCTCCTCTACATGTTGACTACCATATCAAATAATGGATTCATTTTGCCACCAAGGTCTGAAAAATCACACATTATTCTGAGAGTATAATTACTAGGAGGCGGGTCAACAAAGAAAAGAGACAAGAAAACGTGGACAATTTCACATTCAAAGGTCATCATAACTCATAAGTTTGAACATTATATGTCAAAACTTACCGACTTTTTTGAATTGCCCAACACGATGTTTTATCTGAGACGTAGTGAGTGGAGGTTTGTCTGCATTCACTGCTGACAGCTCAAAGCATGGATATCCTTCACCAAGAATACTGCACAAGAGTGTCATAAATTGCAACGATTACAGATGCAACAAAACATGGTATGCTACATAGTGGTTGGATATAAGCGAACTATTGAAATTGTAACATGAATATATATGCTCAATTTTTTTCTATAGTGGTGCTCAAATAGGGGAATGTGGATAATTACATTGGTGCAAATAAATTTTGTTTTGAGTAAGCTCCAGTAGGTTTTCAAGAGAGACAATACAACTTTAATACAGAATTTGTTGTGATTATTTTTGTTACGTTTTTTATTGTTATTTTACATTTATTTTCCCTCATTTTTAGGTCTTTTAGAAGGTCTTTCGGTCCATTTAGTTGTTTTTGGTTATTTTTGTTGTTCTAGTGTTTATTGTGTATTTTGTGGTTTTTCGTGTGTTTTCGTGTATTTTTGTGTGTTTTTGTGTTTTTCCGGTTTTTGGTGTAATTTCAGGTATAATAAGTCTGGATTTTCGAGAGTTATCGTTTCCGACGCATTGGTATCGAGCCCCGTGAAGATTTGAGTTACAAGAGAAATTGCTCTTTTGAGCATAGCTGGAAAGAAGAGCTCGTTAGTAACGCGTAGGAGAAAACGGAACTAAATTTCGAGTCCGAATGATCCCAAACGAGAAAAAACCGTAAAGCCGCGCAAGCTGTCCAAGCCTCGCGCCGCGGCCACTTTTCGGCATAACTTTGGGGCAACTTTTGTAACTAATTATGGCCAGTATATGACATTGAATTGAAGAGGGGTTCGTTAGCTACGCGTAGGAGAAAACGGAACTCAATTCCGAGTCCGGACGAGCCCGTACGAGCCAAAACCGTAAAACCGCGCAAGCTGCCAAGTCTTGTTCAACATGGGCGGCGCCCACTTTTCAAACATGGATGTTGGGCGGATTTTGGAAGATTTTGGGCTGATTTTTGATAGATATGCTAGCCATTAATGCATAATGATCTTAAGATGATTTTGATGTGATTTTGTCCCCTCTTGAACTAGTATAAATACATCATTTGTGAGAGGTCTTAGGGGGGAGTTCGGAGAGTTCGGAAAGGAAGTTTTAGCTTTAGTTCTTAGATACAAATATTAGAATTAGTACAAACACTTTCTAGTGTTCTTGATGTTCTTGTTCTTGTTTTTATTTTCATTTGGTACTTGAAACACTTGTGTGTGTAATTTTATTTTATGTTGTGAGTTAAAATTCGAGTGTTTATCCAGTTAAAATCCGAGTGTTATTCTGTAAATTCCGTTCCGTTAAGACGTTATAAATTTATATTCCGATTATTGTTATTGCAGTCGTAATTATTCTTATTATTCCTAAAGGAATGATTATGAATATTATTACTACAATAATAATAGTTGTGGATACTTATTAATATATATATATATATATATGTTATAAATATTAACTATTATTGCTTAATGTTATTGCTTATTTCTACTGTTGTAATTTTATTGCTTTATTTACTTTACGCACTTTACTCCCTGCCAATTACTTATCGCATATATATATATATAGAAATATTATTATTATTATTATTAATACTATTATTACTGTAATTTACTTTCTGCACTTTACTTTCTGCAATGTTATTGCTTATTTCTACTGTTGTAATTTTATTGCTTTATTTACTTTACGCACTTTACTCCCTGCCAATTACTTACCACATATATATATATATATAGAAATATTATTATTATTATTATTAGTATTATTATTACTATTATTACTGTAATTTACTTTATGCACTTTACTTTCTGCACTTTACTTTCTGC